GACAAATACAGTAGCAAATACAATTTGTATTTGTTTTAAAATTTTTAGTTATTTATTTTTGATGATTTTAGTTTGAAGTTTAGCTGCTAAAGACGCTACATGCTAAACACACGATGTTTGACATGTCCTGTACTGCTTGTAAGAGGGGAAGATGATGATGATAATGATAATAATAACAAAAATAATAATAATAATAATACATGGAAAAGGCATAAAATAGAAGTATTACACTGGTGAATATTTTAGTGGACTTAAAATTAGCGGAACCTAATTTAACGTTCGCTAATTGGTCCGCTAAAGTTTTCCAAAGTTGGCGAAAAAGCTAATCTGCTAAATAAAAAGCAAGTACCACTAGTAGTGTATTAGTGAAACTGTGCCCACAACTGGCTTTTTGCTACATAATTTTTGAAATGATGCTCTGCTTCTTTTAGATTTAAGAACTCGCATTTAGCATTTATGCTATATTTTCATCGAAAATTCTATTTGTGTAGTTACTTTTTAGTGAAGCTTTTTTCATGGATCTTTTATATTCATCTCTTTTTCTCTTACAGACACCTGTAATGAGAAGCTTTCAGGTTCTCAGGGCAGATTCTCGACTCCAAACTACCCGACCTACTATCCTCCAAACACGAAATGTGTCTGGGAGATCGAGGTGAGACGCCCGGACCTGTGTTGAGTTTAACGCCTGATTTTCATAGAGCAGCATTTTAACTTCACTTCCTCTTTTTTTTCCCTTCAAGGTTCCTCAGGGAAAAGTGGTGAAGTTGACCTTCAACAGTTTCTTTGTGGCCGAGCATGGGCAGGAAGGGCACTCGGACTGTTCCAAGGACCACGTGTTGATCAACAATGAGAAGTGAGTTGAAGGCATAGCTCCGGCTTCTTTCATGTCCCGAATGAAAACAAGGACGGCAAAAAGGAAACGGGTGTGTTTTTTATTTTATTTTTGTTTCTTTATTTTCAGACTGTGTGGAGATTACGCGTCGGGGGAGCTGACCAGAGTGAGCAGCACCAACAAAATGACGGTAACGTTTGTTTCCGACGACTCCTACGTCGACCACGGTTTTGACGCCAGCTTCGAGGCCGTTGAAAAAACAGACTGTAAGTGTCCGAGCTCCGTCCAGGTTATCGTCAGGAGAGGTGGGGTTTTTAACGCCGTTTGTTCGGTCTGCAGTTTGTCCAAACGAGTTCCAGTGCAAAAATAAGCGTTGCATCAATACCAACCTGACGTGTGACGGCTGGAACGACTGTGGAGATTTGAGCGACGAGCTGAACTGCAGTACGTACGGTTATTCACACTGTGACTGGACTGACAGCTGTGGGTTCAGGACCTTCTAACTGTCGTCTCCTTCAGAGTGCAGCTCTGGAAGCATTCAGTGTAATAACGGACTGTGCAAGCCCAAGTTCTGGCAGTGTGACGGTGTGAATGACTGTGGAGACAACACCGACGAGATGAACTGTGGTAAGACCGGCCGGCCTGGAGCAGCTCTCGCACCGCTTCATGTTTTTAGAACTACTTTACCTTATTTTAACCTTTCAAATATCATAATGTTCTTCTGAGGGAATAATGAGCACTTTCTTTGTAACTTCTGTCCTTTAAAATATTTATTTATTAAAGATTTCCCCCAAAGAATACCTTGATTTTTCTTCTATTTAATATCTGCATCAATGTACTTGTTTTGTTTTGTTTTATATTTTAGGAACTGTTTTGCTTATTTCAGCTTTTAGCTGTGTTTTCTATTGTTAGCTGTTGCTTCTGTTTTGCTGGTTTTAGCTTTTAGGTATGTTTTTAATTATTGTTAGCTTTAACTACTTTTTTGCTGGTTTTAGCTTTTAGCAGTGATTTTATTATTGTTAGCCTTAGCTACTATTTTGCTGGTTTTAGCTTTTAGGTATGTTTTTAATTATTGTTAGCTTTAACTACTTTTTTGCTGGTTTTAGCTTTTAGCAGTGATTTTATTATTGTTAGCCTTAGCTACTA